TCTTCTTTCCTTTCATTTTGTGCTAAACAAAGGCAGAACAAAAGACGATAAAATGATCACTATTTAAAAACACTGCACAAAAAGCACTGCCTCCTTCCACTAGAGTCCTATGATCATTTCTTGCTCAAAGTTTTTGTTCTTGGAGGTGGTGCCTGTCAACACATTCACTACAATTTCTCAGAGGGAAAAATCCTTTGTTCCTGTACTTTTCCAAATGCATAGCATCTGAACCATCTGAAGGCATGGCCCACCTTCAGGGCTGGCCTGGCACAGGAGTGATCTTCAGCACAGCACGAAGACTGCTGAGCTTGATTTCACCCTTCTCCTAACTCCATCCAAAATGCTCTGCTTCCCAGGACCTCAGCTCTGCAATAAAGACAAATGGCAGCATCTCTCTCCTTAATGGGTTTAAAGAGAAGGGGAAACTTATGAATAGAAGATGGCAAGACTGTATCATTACCATTCATGAAGAGACCAGATTTAAAAAACGAGAGGGTTTATATTACCTGGGATAATATTACTACTACAGTTTAAGACATTCCCTGTAAATGCAATTCTTATGGGAATCACATTTTCATTGCATTTTTTTTAATTTGCAGTTTACCTAAACAATATATTTTCTTTCAGCTGACACTGTGAGTTATTTCATTGCACTCAATAAAATTCAGTGTCTGAAAAGCCTAAAGTCAGTCTTCTTGGTGTAGAGTAAGACCTATACATTCTCCATGCTAAATGCACCTTTCAGGAAACAAAGGGGTTTTTTCCTGGTATTGGGAAGAAGTGTTTTTATAGGGCTTCTGGTGCCAAAGAAAATTTATGAACTCCTGAGGTGTGAGGATATGGCTCATTTCTGAGGTGATAAAAACCCATTTTATTGCCTATTGTTTTACATTGGATGCTGTTAACTTTTACCCCATGCCACAGAAACTGACAAGACAGAAGAAAACTGTTTTGCTGAGTATAGTAGGTATTTTTTGTCTCTTAAAAGCAGCAAAGATATGAAACCCACATGTGCCCATTTCAAAAGAAACTGAGTAAATATTCTCAGGGTTCTAGCTCCCAGCCAGATTACAGAAGTGAGCTGCAGCCAGCAGAAATGAACAGGACTGACCAATCTTTTTTTCCTTTAGCCTCTGAGAGTGAGGAAAGACTTTACATGTCAAGTTTTGTTATAACTATTTCAGGCCTTTCAAAGAGTTAAAGAATACTTTCAAGTTTTGCAATAAATATATTCTAAGGCTCTGCAATCGGATCCTATCTGCTTCAGTGCTGGTGAAAAAAAGACAAAATTTTGAGCAAATTTTACTGTGTTAGCAAAGAAAGCTATTAAACATCAAAAAATATTTTTAAAATTTATTCTACCCCTCTACTCATCTATCTATTGATTTCAAAATCTGCTGCCCCCATTCCTGCCCTTTTAATCTCTTGTCAAAGCTAGTTTTGGCTGCCAGGACAAGTTTGTAACTTTGGACAAGATAGGCATCAAAAAAGAGAGTCCTTTTGCAATTCTTGACTTGGTATTAACATTAAGATAAGGCTTAATTTCAAGCAGAGAGTGCAGAAACAGAAAAACAGGAAGCCCATAGCTTTAAAGTACTGTACAAAGTACAGATTAGTTCCAATGAAAACTTAAGCACCACAAAGAGCTTTCACATTTTGTTACACGTGGTTATAAAACACACAGGTCAAAATATTTGGCATATGGAATAGTTGAATGCAATATTTTTGTTAATGCAATGAAGGAAGTTATCCTCCTTGTGTCCTCTGACATTAAAGTTTTCTTCCATGCTGAACTGCCAAGGTTTTTTAACATTTTACCTTTCTTCACAGTTTCTTTCTGCCAGCTTATATCAGACAAATCATTAGCATCAAAAAGAAAAGTTCAATTCATACTGCTTTAAGCAGTTACCTGTGTCATCAGGTATACAGACAGACAGTAACTCTCTGATGAAAATGTCACACTATCTTATCATAGATTCACAGTTTAAATGACGAGCTTCAGAAAAACAGCAGAAAAGTATTTCTGAAGGTAAAACAACTACAGGCTTTGTTTTCTGCTAAGAGAATGCTGAGCAGGAGTTTCTTGACAAATGTTATCATAGTGCTTCGGATAAGAAATTTTACTATAGGCACAAAAGAAATGGAGAGCTTTGAATATGGCCTGCACAGTTCAAAGGAGTAGAGATGAGGAAAAGTTTCTAGATTTCCTGATTTCTGTACTATCAACCTATACTGAAGGTCTCCAATACTAAGAAGTTTGCTTAGATGAGATCTACACTGATCTGGTGACAAACCAAAGCACCTGTAATGAGCAAGGGAAGTCCCAACTTCAGGAAGAAGGGGTTTAACTCACAACTCCTGCAGATGTATCTTATATGCACATGTGATTTTATGCATTTGATAACATCAGGCATTTTGCTTCCCATAGCAGGAAGGTGCTTTTAATATAGTTTAGATTATGATGTTGGTGAGACAGCAATCACCCGTTTCCTACTGTGATTTCTAATCTATGTAATCCACGAAAGCAACACTGGATTGAAAATGTCTTTCTTCAGCTACTTTTTGCTTCAAGGCAGCTCTACAAATTCCATTTCTGAATTGCCTCCAATCCAGAACTGCTTGTTGCAGTGGGCTCTGGTGCAGATATTCACAGACCTGGAAGTGAATTACCTTTCTGTACACGTCCTTCTCTGTGTTTTCCTCATCTCGTTATGTTCAGCTGACAAAAGATAAGTTCTAGAAAAACTTTCCTTCTTTATGTGGAAAGAGGAAAGAAAGACTGCCATAAGAAAATCTCGAGACGAGCAGGTGGTCAGCAGACAATACTGTAAACTATACAGATTTAATCTGCAAGTGTTAGTTGCAACAAAAGGTCAGTTTTGGCCCAATTTATCTGCTGCTTTGTGGGCCCACCAGACAGCTGGCAGAACAACATGTCTTCTTCCCTGCACTTCATGATGCAACAGCAGAGGGTGTTGCAGATCAGGTCTAAGATACCCTGAGGAGAACAATGTAGGATTTCTTACACACCACTTGAATATTTTTTATTTTTCTGGCTGATTCTTTTAGGGTTTTTTTTTTTGGTAAATATTAGCACAAACTCAAAAATAACCAGAAAATAATTATGATAGGAAAAAAACCCTCAAACATATTCATGTATGAAAAAAGGAGGAGAGAGGAAACTGCTTTCTTACTAATATGCCCAGTCAATAAGTGAATGGGAAAGATAAAATAAAGGTTTAATCCACCTAGGGAATACTGACAGAAAGTGGTGAATCTTTAGATTCATGATCCATTTTTCACATGAAATCCCAGAGGAAATCATTGTCCTGTAATAGGTGATCAAATTTCCTCCTGATACTGGAAAATACAAAAAGAGAACAAAGATTACCCAGCACTTAATGATTCTGGCAGATTGCTTATTTCCCACCTGACAATTTCTAGGGCACCCTGATGAAAAACAAAACCCTGTGTGCTGCTTATAAGCTTCCCCCATTGTAAAAGAAATGAAAATATATGGTGCACAGAACAGCTGAAGAAGTCATAAACTCAAAGAAAACTCCCATGGCAGAGAGAGCATATCCTTCTATTGATCCCCCTGCCTTCCTTTTGTCTAACATCCTACGGGGAAACCTTTGAGACCAAATTGCGCAAACCTTTAGGATGATTTCCACATACTACAAACATCATTATTTTTCTTTTTTAATTTATAAAACCAAGGGAAGTACCTGATCCCAAACCGGGCATTGCTCTTATGTCCGTACAATACTCTCTTTATGTCTGTTATTAAGCAAAACTACTCTATGGCTGGACGTGGCATCACAAAGTTACATGCCCACCTTCCAAAGAGCTGCCTTGCAAGCAGACAATGACCCACTGCAAGCATGTTCCAAAAAGGAATGCTATACTTTCCCCAGGACCTGTATCACAGCTAAATACAGGATTTCCAAAGATGAGTCCTAGGAGAAGGGTTTGATGGACAGTAATGCCTAAATCCCGGTTACGGACACAAACCCGTAATTTCTCCAGAGTGACTTGACTGACTATTGTAATAGCTGTTCTCAGTCAGAAGCCAGCCATCAGTTGCATGCATTACAAACTAAATTTAATCTTTGTTCCATGTGCTTTGAATATACAGCTTGGTACAAAACATATTAATTTCACAATGACACAAATGCAACCGAGTCACAAAGGAAGAAGGGAAGTTTCACCCCTGCTTGGTGCACACAGTGTTGATGAGCGAGTCAAATGTAAGCAAGAAATCAATTCTGTTGGAATGACACGCACAGCCCTCCAGAAGCATTATTACTATTTTTAGCACAGGACACAAGACAGCCTTTTAAAGAAGTCAGCAATAAATCAGTGTTGGAAGGATGGATTGGTGCAGAGAACCCTTTCAGATTGACCATGGGGTGCAAATTGAGGAGTAGGCTGAGTGCTCTCCATTTTCATTTCTCAGCTCCAGACTCCTAAGTCTTTTTCCTCAGCATGCTTTGTATTGGAAGTGCTGTAAATGCACATTCTTATTTGTATTCTACCTAAACTCAGCTCAGCTAAAGGTTCATTTCATTTCAACCCACGGTCAAGGCTGAGAGAAAATAAATAACCTGGTCCTGGAGAATCATCAAAGTGTCCCCAAACCATTCCTTGAAGGTTTATATAAGTACATATTCTTGACACCATTTTGACAATATTTTGACAGTACTATTTGAGAACTGAGTATGACACAATTAAAAGAAGAAGGCACTTCAGTGGAAAATGGGAAGCTTTCTGGCAGGTGGAAAGATCACTGAGCAACAAGTGCAGGCAAGGAAAGAAAACCACACAGTAACATTAAAGATAAAAGTGGAATATGTTACCTTCCCCATCATCAAATCTGCTCCCTAAGAGGGAGATAAACTTCTTCATTGACTGAACAAGAAAGAAACACATACCCTTCAGCAGCCACGCAGATTTAGCTGAAGTTTCTGTAAGAACAGCTTTTTAATGGAAAAAGTTACCTGGATTTTTGTAGATGCTAAGCACATCCTTGAAATAATGAGGTAAGAATCTTTCTAATAAAAGCAGCACGTCCTCCAACTCCTCCAGAATGCCCACAAGCAGAAAATTTTCATTAACATTCAGCTTTGCTCTTTCAAGGGCCCATTCACCAGGCTCCCTGTATGAAATTGATGGGGGAAGATGGAGGAGGGAAAAAGAAAAGTTTAAATATACATTTATTTCTCAAATTCAAGCCAAGAATAAAAGTGAATAAAAAATATTCAGTGCTATACTTAGAACAAAAAAAGACCCCCCCACCAAACCCAAGTAGGTTACTGAGCTTTTCCACGCAACATTTATAATTGGATTGGCATGTAAGAACAGGATCATGTCAAAAGGAGGCTAATCATTGTGTGAAAGTACTCCATTCTGAAGGGAACTTCTGCCAAGTTGTTTATAAGCTCAAACTTGTGAACTTTGGTATTTCAACTTGGAAGCGCAACCCATTTAATCAGAAGGATGACTGCCCTTGGTGTTGGATGGTGCCGAGGAGTGGTGGTGTCCCTGAACTACATCAGGAGAGCTGCTGGGACCAACCACTGCCTGCTGTTACTGGCGAATCCTACACAGGACACTACCATTTTCCACCTTGTCCTTCATTTTAACTTTTGCCAAAGTCTCCAGGAGCTTCCCTTTCCCCTGTCATTACCCCCAGTTGCCCTGCAGCTTTGCTACAGGATTTGCATTTTTTTGCTGTGACTGATACTGGTTTTGAAGAACAGTTTGGGGTTCTTCTGTCCTTTCTCCCAGCAGGAGAAGCTGGCAGGACTTCACTACATCTTTATGCTTCTCTGTTTCCCAAAAGCACAATGTAGTTAGACAACCATACAAATCCTAAATCCCATATAATAATCCATATTAGTTATGTTCTGGGAGCAGCAGCCATCATTCATATTGACACAGGATATAATGCCAGGGTCCCAGGCTAAAGAAATCAGCTCCTCACACTGCCTGGGAGTAGCTGTAAATCACACCTCTTCCATGACTTCTTTAGGTTATGGCGGATCCTAGGCAATAGTGAACTTAACATTTGTCTGAAGCTCTGTCTTTGTCATGTGGAAAAGCTTACTACTTTTCACTCCTACTAGAGCAGACTTGTAGCAGGTTTTTCATGCTCTACCACCTTCTGGGCACTGATCTGTTTTCTGGAATAGCAAAGTGTCCTAACAAACACTATGAGCCTCCTGTTTGTAGCTCCTTATGGGACTAAGAAGTAGCTGAAGGAAGTTCAAGGGCATAACAAGAGCCAAATCTACAACAAGGTAAAAACAGTATTCAATATCCTGCTTGGGAACCTCACAGAGATATTTAGTGAAGGTATTCAAGCATGTGACTGCCGTTAATGGGATTATTCGTGCAGGCAAGTTAAATGTGCAACCATAAGCATTTGCAGATAAGGCCAAAATATGTTAAAAAAAGTGAAATGAAAATGAAGTCGTTAACTTGTTTTGTTTCTTATACATGAGTTCAGTTAAGCAAAAAAAACCCAAAAAGGCAGGATTTTACAACATGGATACTTCTTCTGTCTTTATTTGTAAGTAATAAATTTTCACTTGTTATTACTGCTACAAGAAGTATGGCTTTTGAAAGAAATTCTGGAAAATGTGCAACTGTTTCATTATGGAGAAGCTTGAATAATACAGAAACAGAATACCTTGAAGTTGAACACACCTAACAAAGAACATTTGTTACTAACAATACTAAAGTGTTTAAAGCCAAGAAAGTATTTAAAATGATTCCTATAGTATTGTATAAAAATTTACTAAAAATATGGTATCAGTAACTCAGCATTATTAGAATGGTGTTCCCAGACGGTAGCTCAATTAAAGCAGTAGAGGGCTGTATTTTATATGGTTTTAAGCACAAATACAGTTTCTCACATGGAGACAGAAACATGTATTTCTCATCTAGACCTGACAGAAGCATCTGAGCAAATCAGAAACACGTATTACAAAATTATAGTGCAGATAAAATGAGTAACCCAGAAAAAAAATACACATAAATACATTCATATTTGATGAATTATTCATGCGATACATCAAGAAAAAAGAATACTGCTACATTTGCAATGGCCTCCTTACTTCAAAATATATCCATGCAGTTACCACATGCAGTGCTGCATTCCTTGTACTTTCATTTTTCTCTTGTACTTCAAATAATGTCACCTCTTTATTACCAGCTTCTGACAAAATGTTTGCAATAGCTATTGCTGAACAAATTGAAATACCTTGCATATATTTACCTGCATCTTGGATGCTGTCCACAGAAATATGGTATGATGTAAAATAACCTGGGATTAGAACATTCAGGGTAGTTTTCAAGGATACATACATTAATGTCCTGTGGGGGAGGAAAAAAAAATACTGTATTTTCCTTTCTCTATTAGCAACTGCTTTCTTTATCTCATACATTTTACAGTCATCTCAGGGTTAAAGAACTGTGCCAAGGCTATAACAAGTATCTTAAAAATCATCTATTGGTCCATTTATCTACTTCTAAATATCAGCAGGGGAAACAAAAAGTTATTTTGTCCTAGAATGCACAAAGCAATTTTTTCTTCCTTGCAAACCCCACAATTATTATACTGAGATTACTGTATGAGTTTAGGTGGGACACATTAATCAACTTTCATACTAAATAACATTTAAACTATTCAGAAGATTATTTTCAGGCTCTTCTTTCTTCTAAATACACCCTGGAGAAAACCTGAAGTAGCCAGAAAAAATAAAACTGAGACAACATTTATTACTTTGCCCCTCCTGCCCCCCTTTTTTTTTAAATTCTGCTGCATTCAATGACTGGAATGAACAAATTTAAGATGTAATTTGTACATCTCACTCAATATTATAACATACATCACTTTTGGTTACAATTCGGTAAACTTAGATTTTCAGAACTGAACTGTGCGAAGCCTGCTGAGAAAATGGGTTATTAGAAAGTATTTATCATTTTCATGAAATATCATTCATCTAATTAGAAGCTATTTATCATTTTTCAAAGACTTGGCATAGCTACTGAACCCCGAGGAACTGCATTCCATTTATAGCTTTACTTCAGCACAATAATAAACATGTGGCACTGAAGTCCATTATCCAAATCTAATAGAGCCTTACTCTGCAAGCAGACACACCCTCTGCAGAGACATACAGGGCAAAAAAATGGGTAAGACAACTAAAGCAAGGATGGAAGGATCTCACCTGTGCAGAATCAATATTCGTTGTTATTTAGATATGGGCTTTCACAATGCCAAAGGCACTATACACATCAGTATCAAACCAACAACTAAACAAAACCATAATTTATCAAGTAAATAAAATGTGATAGAGAACATTCCACAAGATAGATGTACTTGGCAGCATGGAAAACATGGAGAGCATCCCCTGCTCTCCTTAGAGAAGGGGAGGGTACAGGCCTCCAGACACAGCATCTGCATCTGAGGCCTCATCAGAGAAAAGCTCTTCCCAGAACTTCAGTCCTCTCACCTAACTTCATTAGATCCCCATTTCAGCCTGTAAGCCTTTTAAAGTACATTTCTGATTCCTACTCTGTCTCACAGTCATGTGAATCCAACTTTATAAGCACACCAGAAAACTGGGCTAGGAAGTAAATCACACGGTGAGGAACCATTACAGAAAATAACATAGAAATTGCCAGCTGGGATACAAACAATCCATTTCCCCTGCTCCCCACAGTATATTTCAGGGCTTGCCTTAAATACATACCAGAAGATTTATGGTCAAGACCTGAATTTTGACATTAAAGGCTCTGAGCTGAAGCTAACCAGCCTCCCATGCTCCATGCTATTACTAAGAAATCTTACTGTGGATGTATAGATTGCACAGGCAATGTGTCTCTCCTGTCATCTCAACAGGGCTTTATAACATGAATTACAAATTGCACCTCTTTAAAGGCTTATTGTGCTTTTACTACAGACAACACCAGAGATGTTTTCAGTAATACATATTTTTAGCTTTCATAAGAAACTAAAGACCTGCAAAAAATTAATAAATCTCTTGGATTAAAAAAAATGAAATACTGCCCTGACAATACTTTAAATTATGTCCAAGCTGGCTTGCACTTGGTAGACGGATTAGATGGAAGGTGGGTAGAACACCTACCATAAGGTGTTCTTAAGACATAAGACTTAAAAATCTCTACCAACATCCAGCTAAGAACATTTTCTCTTTTCTCACTGTCATACAAAGGCAAAAGGACATTAGCTCCCAACAAAGAAACTTACAATTTCTTTACAAGAATAATGAATATGATGAGTCAAGAAATATTCCCTGACATGAGTATCAATACCCAACACAAAAGTGTAACCGGGACCTTCTGGTAATTGTGAAAACAGTATTTGATTCACACGGCCAGAGAAACATCTGTACAATAAAAACAATGTAAATTCATGTGGAAAATCCTGCAGCTTTAGCAAGCAGACAGCTGATACTAACTGAAAAAGAGATTTTTAGTGTCCTTTTTAGGGTAAATTTACGCAGGATTACTGAAACAACCAGGCTGGCTCTAATCTAATCTCATCTCCCCCATTCCGTGTTGATAACTCAAGGTTTAAGATAAAGGCCAGGTGAGCTTTCATACAAACCTACAATATTTTGCCACACAAGGACATGCACTTCACCCTCCTGACATCAGAAGCACCAGGTTTTCTCTGCAGTAAAAGCACTGCCCCTTTCCAGGCTTTGTTTTCCACCACTGCTATGATCTGTATTCCAGCTGCTGGAGTGTCCTCGTGCATTTGCAGCCCCTGCTCACTCCCTGAGATGTGAAATCAGTTTTCAACCAAAAAGTGGGTGAAAGAAAGGTCAGCCTGAGGTGAGCTAATCATCACAAAACTTAAACACACCTACAGGAGATGCTTTTTGGTGCCAGTGGCACACAGGAAATTCTGGGGTTTTTTCCCAGCATGGAAAGTCAAGGTGAAATGACATTATCCTAGGCAGCGTCACTCTGCTATCCTAGGCAACATTAATTAAGCCACATCTCCGAGTAAAAACATGCTTTCTCAGCAGAACACAGATCTTTCAGGGCAGAAATGTTTCTACGTGAGACAAAATTTTGCAAGGTGACAGATGAGAGCCGTGCTCATTTAAATGACTGGAGGAGCCTTGTAAAAAAATTATTTTAACACAGTCAGGAAAGATACAGAAGGAAACACACAGAGCTACTTTGATCATAACCTTTCAAAACAAAGAAAGCAGTATTTTACTTCATTCCTCAGCTCCTGGCTACAATTCATATCACTCACATCCCATGGGGCTTGTGTCTTCAAAGGGGCAGTGGCAGGCCTGGGAATCAGCCCTGCAGCTCCAAGTAACAACAGAAACTATCTTTCTTTTAAATAATACTCTATTTTTCTACTCATGTAACAGTTTTGTCTGAAAAGTTAAACCGGTAATTTCTGCTTCCTTCTTCTGTAAAATTGTCTTTGAAATAAAAATCACAACAAGCCATAATCCTTTAATCTGTCAATGAGTCAGACAACTGATCAGAAATATATCAAAGCTGCATTATTAATATTTTTTTTGAGATTAGTAATAAACTACTTCATTTGCCATAGTGAGCTCAACGAGCTATAAGAGAAGTCAGTATCTGATTAAAAATATTTCATAGAATAATTGAATCATCATGTTTGGAAGAGACCTTTAAGATCATCTAGTTCAACTGTTAACCCAGCACCACCATAATCAATCCTAAACCATATTCCCAAATGTCACACCCAGATGCCTCTTGAACACTTCCAAAAATGGTGACTGTATAATTTCCCTGGGCAAGTTATTTCATTGTCTAACATCTCTTTCAGTTAGGGGTTTTTTTTTCTAACATCTAATCTGAACCTCCCTGATACAACAAAAGGACATTTCCAACCATTCTTTCATTTCCTCCTCACTAAAACTCCTTTCAGGTAGCTGTAAAGAGTGAAGGGCCACAAAATTCCTTTGGGAATTTTAATTCCATCACAAAAAGAGCAAGCTTTAAGGTGTTCTTTTGCAGAACAATAAGCAATTTACTCAAGTCAATGTCTTATGACAAATACTGTACCATATACAAAAGGATGTGACACAAGATTTGAGAACTTTTTTCCTCCAAATACCAAATCCTATGAGTACTGATAGAAAGAATAACTTGGTGTTTATTCAGTGGAAGAAACACACACACAAAAAAAATCATATTGGGTTTGAAAGTGTAGTAGCCTACAGCTGGCCTGTAGGCCTCAAAGTATAAATAATTTTAAAATTATAACAGAAATAGGTAATCAGTTACATAATTCCCTTACTTACATAATTCAACCAATAAGAGCAGGCCCAGGCCATTGGAGACTCAGGCTTCTATTGGCAGTAACTGGCTCAGCCAATGAGGATTAACCTCATGGGCTCCTAAGATATATCAGGGAGCAAGATCGGAATAAAGTGGACTGCTGCTGCATGAACTCAGCATGTCGTGTCACCGGTCTGTTGCCGAAACTGTGACAAGTGGTGGACCACGACATGATCACAACAGCTGCCGCCAACAGAGTGGGGAGACAGAGGGGACAACGAGGAAGAGCTGCCCGCAGCCTTTGAGCTATGAGGAACGGCATATAGAGCCGTGATTGCTTCAGACCCCCCTTTAGTTTTGCTTTTAATTTTTCTTTTTGTAACTGGAAGACACCACCAGCATGGGAGCATGGGCTTCAACACCGGAGGACCCCCTCCTGAACATATAGACACCCACTTTAAAGAAAAGATTTGAAAAATATGAGGAATGGGCTTTATTTGCCCTCATAACATGGTGTGAGAGCCACGGACTGGATGTATCAGAAGGGGCTGTGCTAGATTTAAAAACCTGGGAGCGAGCTGGACGACACATCTGTACAGCTGCCTCCACAGGAGATGACTCTGCCATTTATGTTATTAAACCACGGAGACTCATAATGAACATGATAAAAATGTTGCAGAGGCAAAAATGTTACTAGGCAACTCAATGGTGGCTGCTGTAAGAGTGTCACCTCACTACTGTAAATATAAACAGCAAGGCCATCTGAAAACAAATTGTTTCCGTAAACCCATCTTAACAGGGACAAATCCTCTCAAGGACCAGGGAAACCAAAGACTCAGCGTGAGGAGGGGACGTGTGAAGACAAAAACATCTCCTCACCTTCCTGTGGCTTATGTGACTAGCATGCAGGAAGGACTCGAGGAGCAGCTGGAATGGATATATTCACATTAGACACAGTAACCATATGCAACCCAAAGGTACATAAAATTCCTCTTGAAGATCGAGGACCTACAGGGAAAGGATTAAGTGCACTATTGATTGGAAGGCCTAGTGCTACAATGCAAGGT